TAAGGTAAAAATCCTCTTTTTTCCGTTCATCGTTGGTTATAACCGAACCCGAAACCCGAAACAGATCTAAAAAACTTACAATATGTTAATTTTCACAACTAAAAGTAATTTACAATTTTTTAATGATACAAGTTTAAATGTCTCAAACATAATCGAACCAATTACAAACAACGTATTATATTACAATATAAAACTAAACAGAACTTCAAACATCATACAACTAAAATCACGATTTCACAATTCGACAAATAAACTAGATTTTTTCGTGAGCCTTATTTGGGTTGTTGAAGTAAAGTGGATAAAAGTTTTTTAAAATTTAATGTTACTATTTTCTTCTAATGATATTATATATATATATATATATATATATATATTAAAATTAATATATATACACATATCAGGCCGGGCCGGGCCGATGATCACCGTCCCCGCCCCCGTTAAAATCCCCGAATTTGTCCCCGATCCTCGCCCCGTCCTGAACCCGGCCCGAAAGTTTCGATTTTCGGTTTTCACCATCGGTTTGGGTTTTTTTGCCATCCCTATTCAAAACTGCTCGATCTGGTATGCTCGACCCCTCTCTCTCTCTCTCTCTCTCTCTCTCGTTCTTTCCATCCTAAAAATAATTTTCTTGAAATGTCATCTATGTATTTTTCTCGTTAAATTCCGTGAACGAAACAAAAAAATTCCAATTTCGTTAAGAATTCTATTCCAATTCCATCCAACCAAACGCAATCAAAAGACATGGTCAAATTCCATCAAATTCCATTCCATTCCCTCAAAGTCAAATTCATTTGATGAATTTCAATTCCATCGAATTCCATTTTACGAACCAAACGTCCCGTTATTAAAATCCATAGGTTCTGGGACTACCTTCAAGGCGCTGCTCTTTGGACCATCACTTTTAGAAAACTGAGAATTTCCGGTGGAAAAAATCCGCCGGAATTTTACCGGCGGACAACAAAAAAGTCAACTTTCGTTGACTTCCGCCGCAAATCGGCCGGTAAAATTATTCCGCCAATATTTCAGGCAGATTTTTGGCGAATTTTATAAATAACTATTTTACAATAGTTTTAACTTTAATTACAATAATTTACCGGCGGATTTCTGGTGGATTTTTGATTAATTTTTTAAAATTAACGTCGACCGGAAATCCGCCGGAAAGTAACTAAAAATTAAATTTTTTTTTGTAAAATTTCCGGCGGATTCCGGAGGGCTGCCGGTAATCCGCCGATAAAAATTATTCAAGATTTTTAAAAAAATTAATACTTTCCAACATGTTTTTCCCCCCATTTTCAATTATTTTTAATGGATCGTATTGAGCTTTAATGGTTCTATTGGGTTTAAGTAGATGTTTGTTGGACTTTAATGGATCGTATTGACGATTTTATTGGATTTTAGTGGATGTTAGTTGGACTTTAATGGATCGTATTGACGATTCTATTGGATGTTAGTTGGACTTTAATGGATCGTATTGGGCTTTAACGGATCACATTGGACTTTAATGGATCGTATTGGGGTTTAAACGATTGTATTGGGGTTTAATGGATCGCATTGGAATTTAATGGATCGTATTGGACTTTAATGGATCGTATTGAGTTTTAATGAATCGTATTAGGCTTTAACGAATCGCATTGAGTTTTAATAGATCGTATTGGACTTTAATGGATCGTATTGAGCTTTAATCGATCGTATTTGGCTTTAATGGATCGTATTGAGCTTTAATAGACCGTATTAGTCTTTATTGGATGTTAGTTGGGTTTTAACGGTTATATTGAGCTGTAAGGATCGTATTGGGCTTTAAAGAATCGTATAAACAACTTCAAAATATAGCTGCTTTGGTCAGACAATTTAGTCAATCTCAACATTTTCCCCTACCATAGAATTGAATATCGTTTGTTTATTTGGAACAATTTAGTTTTTGTTTGGAACAATTATGTGCTACTTTAAATTGGTCGGAATAATTGTTGTTTAGTTTAATGTATGATATTTAGCTGCATTTCATCTTTTTAGTTTTTTTAATATTTTACAGATTTACAAGTAGTTTAAATATAGATTTTAATATTTATTGAAAAAATATTTTAAAATTAATAATTTTATAAATTTTTGGCGGATTACTAGCGGGTACATCCGCCAGAAATGATTAAAATATTGAAAGAATAAAAATAAAATAAATTTTCAGCAGATTTTTGGTGGGTTTATCCGCTGGAAGTATTTAAAGAATAAATAATTATTTTAAAAATAAAATCAATTTTCCGATGGATAAATTTACCGGCGGATATTTTCGCCGGTAATTTTATTCAATTTTTTTTTTAAAAAACTTTAATATTTCTTAATTTAATCAAGAACTTTTAAATAAACCGCGGTAAATTTTCCGGCGACTAGAATCCGCCGGAAAAAAGAAAAGCCGCGGGTAAACTCGCTGGAAAACTAATCACCAACGTCTATTTTTCCGAACAGTTCAATCTGCTGGAAATCCTTTTTCTGGTGGATTGAGCCATCGGAAATGTTGCCTTGTTTGATAGTGCATGCAAGTGGGCGCATCCTCCTTGACCCCCGCCTTATGAAGATTTAAGACGATAAAATCAATATTAATGGATATGGATTTTGCACCTCCTAACTCACATTATTTGTTTTATACAGTTATGGATTTATGAATCACAACTAAAATTACCAAATCATGTATGTGTATAATAAATTTGATTGCCTTATTTATTATAGCATAAAGATAAAACAACCTAATTTGTTACCATACTTTTCTTTGATACAATTCCACATTCCAATAAAGAATCATTAAAGAGAAAAAGTTCAAAGTTTTTTGATATGCCAAAGATTTTTCTCTTTAAACAACAAAAAGGCACAAATCAATACTGAAAGACAATGAGACGTGTGTGTATGTATATGTATATATATGATAGAATGGTATTTGGATAAACATGGGGTGACGAAAACATGCTAACACTCCATTTGGTTTAATATTATATATATATATATATATATATATATATGTGTGTGTGTGTGTATATATTGATCTTTTTACAAACCAAATAATTGATACAAACAAATAAACTTGCTAATTCTTATTAGTTGCTTCACACACACACACACACATATATAAAGAGGAGAGAGAGAGAAATCTAAATAATAACGCTAACTATTTAAGAACACAAGAAAAAAAGTCGTTAATGTATAACTTTGAATAATAAATTTTCTTTTCCTTTGGTGGTTTGTTGTCAAAGTGTTTGGTAGATTCTTACTACTCGTTAATATCCGGTGAATTTGATATACTGCCTTTACTTGAAGGTAAACATTTGATGTAAATGTGGAAACGGAAGATTGTTGAATCTAGCGCACGATCCTTCAATTCTTATGGGTTTGTATTTGAAATAGTTTTCTTTTGATAAGCCTTCCCTCATTCTTCTTGGTGGAATCGGCTAAGAAGGCATATAACTTGACCTGTGACATTTTCTTAAAACTCTTCATCGAGGTTCTTTCATTAGAAGACCCAAACACACCTTGCCATCCTTGCAGGTACTCAATGCAATGCTACATGTTGTATTTGGATTAGAATTGAAAGGCTAATGTAGTTGGGTTATAACCGTTGATAATATAGTTCAAGTAAGAAAGGAGCCATTCCCTTCGTTATTTGTTCTTTCATGTTGCGAGAGAGTAAGCAGTTGTTTCAAGCTCATCTGTATAAAGCACATCCGACCTTTTGGTGGTTATATATATTTATACAATGATATGAGAAGATAGTGCAGAGGTTTTCACGAAACAAATGCTCTATTAATTTACTTTTTGAGGGTCTGGCTAGGGCTCCTTAAAGAATGAGTTAAAGTAAAAAAAGATTGGTAGCTAATTTTTTTATGATTGGCTTTTATTTAAATGGTGCTCACAACTCATAACAAGTTAATTGATTTACTTTTTAATCTATGAGAAAAGAGTAATTAATAAGGGTTTTAAGGGTATTTAATTTTTGGGCAATTGGTTACAAAATTGATAAAAGATATAGTGACAAGATGTCATTGTTTGTCTTACCAAAACATTTTGTTTTTATGTTTTAATCAAAATTTCCAAAAGATCATCTTCTATTCTTCTTCATCAAAAAAGGATGTTGCAATTATAAGTGATGTAACAAACATGTAAACCACAAGGGTGGTGCCTGATTGGTTTGAGCTTGGCTCCAAGGGTCAAAAGTATCAGAAGGTCCCAGGTTCAAATCCAAGGAGGAATAAAAATCCCCTTGTGGCTACGGAGGTTCAAATGCGGTGACTCCGGACTATCTGCAAAGCAGGTGGTCGTCCTGGGATTAGTCGGCTCGCATAGCGGGTTGGATATCCAGGTTAATAAAAAAAACATGCTCTGACAACCATTTTAAAAATATGTTACCATCCCTTTTTATTAATAACCCAGAGGTTGTTTACTAAATGTTTATCATAGAATTAAGCATTTATTGGGTTATTTATCTTATTAGATGAATATGATAAGAGTTGGATGAGTCGTTCAAAGCTTCAAAAGAAAAAGGAAAGACAGTTTCCCGTTCAACTTAACCTTTGCTATAACAATCAATAAAGTTTAGATATTGACAACTTTAAATACAAATGTTTATCCATAATCGCTTACTTTTTATTCAAATTTCACATTCCCGCGGTTACACAATTAGTAAACGAAAAACAATGATCATAGAGCCTAAATCATCAAGCCATGTTAACGTAAAGGTGACAAGCGAGCTTCGAATCAGTAAAAGAAGAGGGAATCCATCAACTATAATTTCTCACTATTCTTTTGAACATAGCATTTGAATATCAACTAAATACAATAAGTATGCAACGAATCGGATGAAACTTTTGTCGTCTTCGTCTATCATCCAATATAATTTTAATAATTTACTGAACAATATACAAGTGTAAAAGATACATAGAAGCAGATAAGATCTGAAAGATGCTGATAGTTCTTGTGCATGTGGTTCTTGTTCATTAAGCCCATAAGAATTGGAGGTAATGAAAGAAAAAATACTGCCATTAACAATCTATATCAATCGCAACTTTATGCTACTGAAGGGAATAGTAGATATCTTTTCACCCTATACACTTTTACTTGTAAAATTAGAGACATGGGACTCTCTTTAAACATAGTCCTTATCTACAGATAAACTATCAACTCTTCCATAATTAGAGATTAATTGATAGGAATTAATTAAGGCCAATATTGATAATATAGATCCATATATTATCAGGCCATCATCTACTTCTTGAATTGCCATAATTCATCCATGTTCCAATATGTGTCAGCTGCCAAGTCACCACCGCTTATCCAATCAGTATCGGCAACCTGGAAGTTTAGGTTTGACATGTCATCTGGCTGGCCAAACCCCATCATATCGAACTCGCTTATATCCAAATTGTAAGTGTCATTGATTTGGAGTGATGAGTTATAGAAGGCAGTGTCTGCATAAAATTGTGACATTTCAGGCAGCTGTGACAGCATCTTCGCGGAAGAACTTGATGCAAAAAAGTTTGAGCTTGAGTTAATATGCTCTATGTTGCTTGGTCGTGTTGGAGATGATACTGCAAATGGGGTTTGTTCGATTTGTGGACCAGGGCTTAATTTGTTTTGATCAGTTTCCATGGTTGAAGTAGAAGCAGTTGATGTCGATGATGATGAGGAGGTTTGCTCCACTTTCTCGAGCAACCTTGGCATCCAAAATCGTTGAAGTTCTTCCACAAACCTCTTGCTACTAGAGTCGATCTTGAGGTGGCGAGCTTGTTTCTGTACCCTTGTTCTCCAGTAGTTCTTGATCTCATTGTCTGTTCTTCCTGGCAAGTGTTGAGCAATTTTGGACCATCTAGTATTCAAAATAAACAAGTAGAATTTAATGAACAACTAAACTATATGAAAGCAAATTTGAATAGTCTTTCTTTGTGGTATATATAAAGTACACAAAAAATATGATCCATATATGACAAAACTCACCTGTTACCCCACTTGGAATGGAGCTCGAGGATCAAGATTTGCTCTTGTGGTGTGAGATTTCCACGCTTGGTATCTGGTTTTAGATAATTTAACCATCTTAACCGACAACTTTTTCCTGTTCTTTTCAATCCTGAAAAACCCAAAAAGATAACCAAAGATAAAAAACCCACAAATAAAAGATGTAAGGAGAAATCAGAACATGCTCCATATTGCTTATACATGATACAAATCAATAATAGTACCTGCAGATTTTGCTAGCGAATTCCAACGACCTTCGCCATGACAAGTGATATAACGGATAAGAAGATTGTCCTCTTCAAGTGTCCATGGCCCTCTTTTGAGTTGATCAAACTCTTCTTCGTTGAAAGAAGTGTTCATCTTCTTGGTGGTCCTCATTGAAGCTGTAAAGAAAGTAACACAAGAAGGAAAAGAGAAGAAAACTTGTAGTGCTTGAATGATGGGGTGTTAGGAAACCAAGTGGATGTTTATATACATCTGAAAGTGATTCCAAAAGCCAAAAGAGTTTCTTGAAAAAGTTAAAAAGGAAAATAGGGAAGTACACCCCAATAAATATTGCCTTAAATTGCTACAAGTACAAGCCAAATGGGAATTTTCAATATGTGGGTTTGTCACTATCTTTGAAATATAAAAAATTGAGTAAACTAATCAAACTAGTGCTCTTTGTGTGAGCATCTAAGTCTATTCGTTGAAATTAATGAAATGTGATTCTTATCTACTTTCTGGAGACTTGGGTGGCTGCTACATCCACACCCTTGGTCACTCCTCCTTCTTCTCCTCTCTCTCTCTCTTCCATGCCTCACTTATGACTTATGATGGTAGAACAACTGTTGCTGTGAGTCGTAGGATGCAATTTCGATGCATAAATGTTGGAGGTTTGAATAACGCCAACTAGAATTATCCACATCGACTTTTTCAAAGTCTAGTTTTACCGTTTGATCGTGATTCAATTTACCATCTCATATTCTACATATATAACACGGTTCACATATCAAATAAACTAACGTTTTCTTCTTGAAATCACGAGAATACAAACTTTTTGTAACCCGTGTGTATGTTTCCGTCTATATTAAACTACAGAAGCTATTTTGTCATTTGAGTAAGACCATAGTTACGACATCCGTGTGGCATATTGCATCTAAGAAAGTTGAAATGTTGTAGCTTTCTACCTGTCTTGTAACAATCGAGAATATAAAGAAAGGAAAGAACCAAGAAGCCCCCAAAAGAGATGCCTTTGGAGAAACCACCTATATGCTACAAAAAGAAGGAAAAACGAGTAAAATCGACTAATTAAGAGATACCGTCGTCATTTTCAATGGGAATAATTCTCTTCAAAATCAATGTGCATGTGCCTATTTACTAAGGTTTCTTTGGAAGACCAAAGAATCGTGCTTGACTAGAAATTCGATTTATGATTACCTTGCTAGGTTCATTAAACAATCTTGGGATATATACATTGAAGGTTCTCCACCGTAATAATGATTCAACGTCATTATCCTTTTTGACAAAGACTATTCTTTAACTATTTTGATCTTGACATTTTTCTAAACAAACGACTTGGCTTTGGACCAATTTAGAGGCTCTCAAGCCATTCCAACACACTAAAGCTACTTTTTAAGTATGTGTTTTCAACAAGAAGGGTGGTGTCTGATTGGTTTGAACTTGACTTCAAATGTCAAAATTACCAGGAGGTCATGGGTTTAAATCCAAGAAGGAATAAAAATCCCTTTGTGGCCATGGAGGTTCAAATGCGGTGACTCCGGACTATCTGCAAAACATGTGTTTTCCAAATAAATATTGTAATTTGAAAAATTAATTGATTAACGTTAGAAACAAAGTAGTTATACGTTTACCCGAATAATTATTTTTTTGATGTCAAATTTCTTACATTTTTGTATAAATGTAATTGTTTTTATCAAACATTCAAACCCTAACAAAAAAAAAAAAAAAGGCACAAACACCAGATTAGAAAGCAAAAAAAAAAGTATGAATTGTTTTCGGAAGTTTCGATAGTTGTGGAGGATGACAAACTGGGGACTCCCATAGTTTTTCTCTATGGGCTTAATTAATTATTCTCTTGTTTCTTCAAAACTCATTTTTGGAATCGAATGAAAGAGTTAAAATTTTAAATATTGACTCTTTTTGTAAGTTTGGGTTTTGATTACTTTTTTTGTATTTCAAATTATGTGAAGTTACGTGCACATTTTTATCTCTTTCTCTTTGTATCATACAAAATATGGATTATTAATAAAATATTAATTATAAAATATAAATGGGTTGACGTTGAGCGCGTCTGTCTATATTTATTTATATATTCTTTATGTTCGTCCGTTAGTTTTAACGAATAAACCTGTGCCTGTCCATTTTCTCGATAATGGTTGTCTAAGCCCGTATTTCTAGCAGACCGGATGAGCCAGGTCTATCGGTCGTCCCGTCCATGAATAACTCTACTTCATCTATCTGCTACAGACACGGTTACGTAAAAGGTAAAATTGTCATTAACAAACAAAACCCTCATTATTTCCCCCCCCCCCCCCCAATTAGAAGGGTTGTATGGTAATTCCTGAATGATTTGGTGCTTAATTATTAAGTGATCAAAATGATTAAGAGGCTCTCATGATATAGTGCAAAATGAAATATAATTGTTTGGTAATTGTGTACAATGAAATTAGGGCTCGTAATGGTTAAGAGAGATCCATGATACGAAATGATTCAAAGGGTTTTGTAACCATTAAGAGACAGATTTTTTTTTTGCCAAACAAGATTAACTTCTTAACGATTAAGATGTTGCCTCTTAATAGGACTATTAAGAGGTAAACAAACAACTTAAATTCTTTTGATTTTTAAATTTGAAGTATGAGAAAGAATTAATAAAAAAGATTGATGGTATAATATACATATATATACCATCTTCGACCAAGTCTTTATGATATTGGACGGAGGGTGTATGCCAATATGGATTTTCTGAAAAATAAATCAAAGGTGTGGGTGTGGGTGTAATAATCAAATTCCTTCATACTATTTCTTTGACACCTCAATTATTAGCATGCATTTTTGGATAATGTGAACCCATTTTTCTAATTCAACAATTTCCATGACAAGATATATTTATTCCACTCTTCTATTAACGTGTACAGTAAGTTTTCATGATTAATCAATATAATGTAAACAAATTAACCGTACAATATTTTTATATTTCCATCATTTCACTACTAAAAAACAGACTTTCAATGACGGATGTTATCGACAGTCAAAATCCGTCTGTAATTTCTTGATTTGAAATTTATCAACTAATAAAATTAAAAATAAAACATCCATAGGTGGATATGATATCCTTCAGTAATTTACCGACGGATTGAATAATTAAATTAAAATATCTGTCAGTAAATACATATATATCATAAAAACACGAGATATAAGGATATTATATATGAATCTCAGTTCAAATATAATTAATTATCATTAATGTATTGGATACAAGTCTTGTTAGAAAACGATATCTTTTGGAGTTTTTTGGGGACATACTCTTCTTTTCCACTAATAGAACATGTGCATCAGTGACAGCAAAACCCACCGGTAATTTACTGATGGATTAATGAGGAAAATATCAACAAATGTGTAATCCAAAAAACTATAGACCGTTTATCGATAATTTATCGAATGATTGTCGAGGAGAGGAAGTACGTTGGTAATCTGTCACTATTTACCAACTGATTAATTAGCGGCAACCTATTTTTAAAATAATTATTTTTATTTTTTTAAATAGATCAATTATTTTTGGCGGACAATCCTCTAGAAATTTATAAAATTATTAATTTTAAAATATTTTTCCAGTAAATATTTAAAACTTGTATTTAAAACCTGTAAATCTGTAAATATTAAAAAATAGTTAAAAAGAAGAAATGCCGCTAAATATCATACATTAAACTAAACAAAAATTATTCCGACCAATTTAAAGTAGCACAATTGTTCCAAACAAAAATTAAATTGTTCCAAACAAATAGATGATATTCAATACGGTGGCGGAGGATGCTGAGATTGACTGAGCTGTCTAACCAAAGCAGTCATATTTTTAAGTTGTTTATCATGTCGCTCCTCCTTCTCCTGTCGTCGCTCGTCCTCGGCCCGCCGTCGCTGATTTTCTTCCTGTAAATCTGTAAGTTTGTTCCTTAAGGCTTCAATTTTCTATAAAATAAAGAAAACGTTATCATATTAATTATAAACTAAATCGATAAACATCATAAAAGGAAAAAGAGGCACATACCCACTCTCTAAAAACAATGGACCACCTTGTGTCTAGTTCCCAGTCAAGACCCAATTGGGATTCTGATTGTATCCAAACCCAAATAGAAGACCTTTCTTGCTTACCCCATCCGTCTACTCCCTTAAATCTGTATCAACTAAATGATAGGTAGAAGGATCATTGTCATATATTTGGGTGAGACCCGTTGAATAGTCATCCTATATATGGTTTAAAAAAGATTACAAATCAATTTTGACAGCATGAAGGCTGTAAATGCGGTGTTTGCAGACAAACCAATAGTGATACATACGAAATTTGTAGCCAAAACAGTTCTAACGTTTACCCAACAAATGACAATCCAAACTAAATATTGATACATACGAAACTTCTAACTTAAACAATCCCAGTGTTTGCCCAACAAATGACAAACCAAACTAGATACACACACACACACTTAGATTTTTAATTTAAAAACGACTCGAATGTTACCCAACAATGGTAACCTAAACTAGATAGATAGTTACGTACCCAATTATAAACATTAAAAGAGATATATATTTACTATGACCTGGCTACACTTACATACGCCCCAGAATCCGTAGATGCGACATCTCCAGTCGACCACTTCTTATGTGTATGATAGAACAATTCCACAATGGTCGGTGGCACGACATCTTTTGCTTGTGTCTACTAAGGTCAAATAATACGAAAATGTGTTAATTATAACATCCACTAAAGCCCAACTAATATTCATTAAAGCTCAGTAAAACTGTTAAAGCTCAATTAACATCCACTAAAGCCCAACATGATCTATTAAAGTCCAATACGATCCATTAAAACCCAATACGATCAATTAAAACCCAATACGATCTATTAAGAATATATGTAATATTTTACATTTATATAAAAAAAAGTTTAAAAATGAAAAAAAAAATCAAAAATCCGCCGGACATCCATCGAAAAGTATTAAGTTTTTTTTTTTAATAAAAATCTTGAATAATTTATTATTTTAAATTACCGGAGGATTACCAGCAGGCTCGGGTAACCGCCGGAAATTTAAAATAATAAATTTTAACTTTTAATTATTTTCCGGTGGATTTCCAGCAGACGTTAATCTTAAAAAATTAATCAAAAATCCGCCGGAAATCCGTCGGTAAATTATTGTAATTAGAGTTGATAATTTTGTAAAAAAATAACTTGTAAA